TAAATATATAATTATTTTCTAATTGATACGCCCTATTAACGAGCCATATAATTGCTAGTTCTATTAGTTATGGTTGCAAAACTTATTGATCCCAGCTCTATAATTATGCATTATATTATAGTATTTAAGCTATTTATAAAGCTCCCATTAGCCACGCTCTCAATGGGCGGAATATTCAATATATAATTGAAGTCACCTGAAGCCTTAATTTTAGCTCTAGAGTGAAGTTATTCCAAGTCCATATTACAACAAACATTTTGCGTGGATTTTTCCTATATTATTATACGAACTCAATAAATTTCGCTGTTTTTATCCTCTTATATTACACTTAAATGACTTGAAATTTTGCAAAATATTCCCTTCGTTTCCTTTTCTTTGCAGCGAAAAATCTCAAGTATTTAATAGAACACAACACCTCTGACCACTTGATGGTATGCCATGCTTGAAAACTTCGTCGCTCCACAAATTTGTCAAGTAAAAACAAAAAAGGAAAAAAGCGAAAAGCAAATAAACAAACGGCAATTAGCTTATAATATCGCTGAGAAACTTGGCAAAACAGTCGTAAAAGTGCTATGAGAAACAGCCTCGGCCAAATGAAGCTGAAAAGTGCAATAATTTGTGTCTTTTTATCTGCAGCAAAGTTGGCGAACAGCATCAACAGGAAAAGTCAACAACAGTAATTATAAATTGTTTTTTCGTTCTATAATAGCAAACAAATATTTAATTACAGAACTGTCACAATCTGCAGCAGAGACAGAGTTTTGCCAATTTCAATTCCATTTCAGTTAACTGAAATTTCCCAGTCAATAAACTAGAGAGTGAAACTTTCGATCTTGCTGAGCTTGCAGATATATGCAGGACTAGCGTAAGCAAAGGTTCCAAAAATATATCATCTGTATCCGTTGCTCCATCTCTATTAATTCCAGAGAAGATAAAGACAAAGCTAACATTAAAAGCTATATTAAAATAAAAGTAAATATTTAATTATATTAAAAAAAAAAAATAGGAATGTATAAAAACATAATAAATATAAAACTTTATTCTGGCATTGATTACAAAGGCAGCTTCCATTACCACGACTCGTCTATTCCTTTTCTGAAAATATTATTTTCATATCATCAAACGGCCCAGAGGCTTGGCGCCATCTAACAACAACAGACTTTGTAATGAATTGGCAATAAGACAGGAAAAAACGCGTACTGAAGAATGAATTTTGCCATAGATAATCTAGCTGAATCGATGCTTAGCACACACAAATATTCACTTGATGACACGCTCAAAGATATGCAGCAAAACTGCGAACGTCAGATGGCGAAGCATGGCGCATGGGGTAGGGGACATGGAGCATGCAGCTTGTGGCATTAAGTCATTTAAAGCAAAAAACACACTGGACAGAGGCCAGGACCAGAGGCCAGAGAGCAATGAGTGGCACGACTCGTTGCGATAGGTTTGCACAGCATACAGCGCACATCCGCTGCCATAGAACAGCAACAGCAACAGCAACAATAACAACAACAACGTCTAAAGGTTGTAAACAAAAAGTTTGCGCTTCATAGCACAAATTGAATAAATCATCAAATGTCGAGCGATTTGAAAGACATATCTAGGGAAAGATTACGTGCATTATTGTTGGGCGAAATTGCCCAAAGAAAAACGTCCAATAAACAACGAGTAGAAGAACCAAAATGGCTAAAAACTAGCAAGATAAGAGCATATATAACTAGCTAAAAATCAGCCAGAAATTTAGATACGTCTTGTTGCACTACGACTGAAACTGTGTGAGCTACTGTTTAGAGAGACTCAAATAGAATTTAATTGGAGTCATACAAAAAGTTTTAAGAGAGACTTAGCTAGGTGTTAATCAATTATATAAGAAACAAATTGTAAATGAAGTAAGAGTACGGTACAGAAACACGTTTGTCTTTCCTTAGGAAAGCCCTAAGGAGCCAATGAAGGATCAAAAGAAAGAGGACATACACATGTAAACGTACTGCTGAAGAGAATATAATACATATTATTATAATTGGTGGCCGAAACCTCAACTAGAGAATCTAATACAATATATGTATGTATAAATATATAAGGTTTCTTCTCCAGAAGCAGAAGAGACGAAGCATAAAAGGAAGTAAGACTGATTGAATTTTGAGTTCCCAACCTAAACTCCCACCCCCAATGAGTTATGCTCTAGCTAGTGGGAGAGAAATCAAAAATTGAATAATATTTATTTAGAATAATGTAATAATTGAGCAGTCGCAAATAATATTTACGATTATTATTGATTATTTGTATGTATGTATATAATACTTTTATTTATATTATAGAACAGTCTGGGTAATCATAAATAAAAACCTTTGCAGAAATTTGACACTTGGAATATGTAATAAAATAAATAAACATTTTTTCAGAATGTGAGAGGAGTATATTGGGCTTGTGTAACGCCCGCCTTGCTGTCTCTCTATTTGATTATTAATATGCACGCAAACCGTGCCGATGCAATGGAAACTAGAGAAATTTAATTGGATATTTGGTCTATTAAATGCAAAATATTATATCTGATATTGAAGAAAGGTTGTAACATATGTATATATAGTAAAACCACGACTATATCTGTATAGTGTCGTTTTTTGTGAGCGAGGCAATATATATAGGCTGAAACTTTTACAGTATGGAGCCTTTGCTTGAGTTCCTGGTGAAAGCCATATTATCATAGTTCGATTTTCTCTAATTGATTGGTAATAAAAGAAAAAGTTATGTCTCATCAGATGTCTTGAAAAACGTGTTCTCAAGCAGTTGAAAAATTACAGCTGCAAAATTGACTCCCTCTTGAAAACTGCAACATGAGCTTATCAAAGTTTTTATTGGCAATGCACGAGTACGACGCAGTTGGTTGCAACAGGCATACTTATATGCAACTGCTTTCATGGAATCGTTGCAACACTTCAACTGTTCAGTTCTAACAGAAACTTCACTCAGGCAAGATGTGCGCCTACAAAGTGTACGAAATATTTCTAATTCAGATAATGTATTTTATTTCATTTATATTTCTTACTTCATTTGCTTAGCTACATGGTGCTCATGGTGCTCGGTCTAGGGGTCCTAATAGTGGAAGCATATGAGGCCAGTGATGTCGTAAATGCCACTCTCTATGTAGACCAATGCCCGTACATTCAAATGGAAGAGAATGCTCCCAAGCATAGGCTGTTGGGTGTGTGGTACGCCTATGCAACAACTCCGCTGCCCTTTCAGCAATATCAGCGTAGATGTGCCTCGTACAATGTGAGGAACTCACGTGAGTATATGGAAGCGATGAAGTGTGCGCGATCGGACAACTGACATATGTTCTTGGTACAGCCTACTTTAAGACCAATATTCTCTATTATGACAAAAAAAATGCTCAGGTTGTCGTCACATATTCATGCAAATACAATCAAGCTATCCAGAAGTATGTAAGTAAGTAGTTCAACATCTATCTATTCTTGCTGAATCGAATAATATATTTAACTATTTTTTAGGGACCCTTCGAATACTGACACGCACGCGCACCCCTGACAGCGAACTGATTGTAGACACCAACGAGTATTTGATAAGTCGAGGATTTAATGTCAGAATACTGACATGGCTAAGAGCAAACGCCTTTTGCTTTGAATGGTATGAGCTAAGATTTGAAACGGAACGACAGCCGATGTCCTATCAGGCGCCATTCAATATGCTCGGCCCATTGGGACGCTAGAGACTCGAATTGATCGCATAAATGTTCAATTATTGTAACATAATTTGCCGTACATATGTTAGCCATTGAATCACTGATTAAAATGAGGAAATCGTATAATGGCCGAGGCCAAACTTAATTAGGATTCTCGACCGCCAAAATCAATTACGTCGACAGTATCGGCCGTTGATCATGTGCTTCACGCACATATGGCTTGGTCCACATCCTGGCATCCTGGCATCCTGGCGATGAACGATACCATGAACTACACCCAGTTCCTGCTCCTGCCACTGCTCCGTCTCCTGTGTTCGTGTGTTTGCAGTTACGCAAAAACTTTCCATGAGCCCAAAATTATCTTTAGTTTGTGTGTTTTCTTTTTGTATTTTCCTTTTTTTTTTTTTTTTTTTTTTTTTTTTTGGGGGTTTCTTT